TCATTTTGAGGATCCCAGGGGCTGGCAGCCTTCACTAGCTGACTGCTTTTCTGGCCCAAAGTTTTGCTTCAGGGTTGATATTAAGACAGAGCAGTTGGCTGAGGGTGATGAATCTCGGAAACTTCTGGTTCTGTCTCTCCACAATCAACCACTTGAATGACAGTGCGTAATCACTCATCCTGTATGGCCTCAATTTCCTTATCTGTAAGAAGAATAGAATATACTGGATGATTTCTCAGACCCCATCTAATCCAACAATTATAATGCTGAGATGAAAATTTCCTATAATTGGTTTGAAACTTGTGGGGCATTTAAATAAATACCAGAAAGCAGTGAAAAATAGTCTCAAAAATCAGTGAATGATCCTGTGGGATGGTGTGAATGCTGTCCCCACCACCATCCCTTCCTACCTAAATTCACATGTTGAAACTTAATCTCCAGTGCAGTAGTGTTAAGAGGTGATCAAGCCCTTTAAGTAGGATTCAACCTCATAAGAGAGGTTGATGAGCATGATGCCATCCCTTCCTTCAGACCCTCTGCCACGTGAGGACACCACAACAAGACGCCATCTATGAAGCAGAGAGGGGGCCTTCACCAGACACCAAGTCTGCTGGCATCTAAATCTCAGACTTCCCAGTAGCCAGAAGAACTGTGAAAGATATTTCCTATTATTTATAAATTATCCCATCTAAAGTTTTGTTTTGTTTTGTTTTGTTTTGTTTTTGAGACAGAGCCTCAAGCTGTCACTCTGGGTAGAATGCTATGGCATCACAGCTCATCGTAGCCTCCAACTCCTGGGCTTAATCGATTCTCCTGCCTCTGCCTCCCAAGTAGCTGGGACTACAAGTGCCCACCATAGCTCCTGGCTATTTTTTGGTTGCAGCTGTCATTGTTGTCTGGTAGGCCTGGGCTGGATTCAAACCCACACCAGCTGAGGTGTATGTGACTGGCGCATTAGCTGCTTAAGCCACAGGCGCCGAGCCTAAAGTATTTTATTATAGTAGCCCAAACAGACTAATACACATCAGAAAGACTCGTTTTATTTTTTCCTTCTGAAAAGAAATTCTCTCTCTTTTCTCCTACTAGGATTGCTGCTATGTGGATTAGAGGTGCAATGGGGACTTCTGTGGCCTTTGGTCACTATGAGGAAAGGGTCTGTCTGATGGTGAAATGTGTATGGAGGAAGTGGAGAAAAGGCCCTGGTACATTGTTTGAGCTCCTCAATCCAGGCATACCTTAACGGTACGTCCATGTCTTGCAATCTGATGTATGAGCCCCCAAATTCCTCCCTACTCTGGCTTCTTTTAGCTTATGCCTTATTTAAGGTAAGTTTCCTATTAGTTGGAGCTGAAACAATACTAATATATATACAGAAAATTTTCATACAAAAAATGTTTATATACAAAATAACCCCCCAAATATTAATAATTAATATCTATGGGTGATGGGATCAAAGGCTATTTTCATTCTCTGTTACATACTTTTCATTATTTTCTAAACTTTCCCAAATTATTTATTACTAGCCTAATTTTTAAATGCTATTTTAATCTACTATCCGTAAGAACTGTGGGGACATTGCTGTTATAGAGATTCTACCTCCTCTGGTTTGGTCCTTCTACCTGAGTAATAGTTGAGATTTAATGCATTATAGCTGTGTCTTGTGACATAGACAGGACTCAGGACCTAAATCCTATAATTTGGAAAACTTTCTGTAAAGGGCCAAATCATAAATATTTGAGGCTTTTAAGGCCACGTGCTAACTGTGACAACCACAAAAGTCTGCTGTTGAAGGACCAAAATAACTGGAGATAGTTTATAAATGAATGAGCATGGCTATATTCCAATAAAACTTCATTTATGAGCATTGAAATTTAAATTTTATGTAATGTTCATATGTCACCAAATATTCTTCTTGTGATTACTTTTCAACCATTTACAAAAGTAGAAACAATTCTTTGTTCACAAGCCATACAAGAACAGGTGCCAGGCCGTGTTTGGTCTACTGACCATAGTTTGCTGAGCTCTAGTCTATAATATTGGGGTTTCTGTCATTGTCTAGCCCTTGCTGCAATCTAAATTTCCACAACATTCTGGGTTGGCTTTCCAATGGGAATGTTAATCTCACAATGATCAGGCATGGATGTTCAGCAATCCTTATGGACCAGGGCATTGGTCAGGATGTCTGTATCTCCCCTGGATTTGTGTTCTTTCCTTTTTCTGAGCTGGTTATAGACTCTTCCTCTTTTTCCAAGCTTTATGTTGGAGTTAACAACCCTACACGTCGCCCGGACCCGCCAAACAACAATGATGGCTGCAACCAAAAAATAGCCGGGCGTTGTGGCGGGCGCCTGTGGTCCCAGCTACTTGGGAGGCGGAGG